AAAAATACTATTAAAATTCATCCCATTTCTATTACTCCAGTTTTCAAGGATGTCCAGATCTTCCAGTATGATATTGCAGGCCTCCTGCATACTGGCAATAACTCCCAACATTCTGAAATCTGCAAATTTTATTAGTACACTCCCATTTTTTGTGCCAAGGTCATTAATGAAAATGTTAAATAAAATTGGTCCAAAAGCCAATTCCAGAGGAACTCCACCACTAACCTCTCTCCAGCCTGACAGTTCACCTTTCAGCATGACCTACTGTAGTCTCCTCTTTAAACAGTTCCTTATCTGCCTTTTAATTCTCGTATTAATCCCCATCTTCTCCAATTATCAGATACTTTACTTAAATCCAGCTAGATTAGATTTACTGCAGGTCCTCTGTCTAGAAAATTAGCTGGAACCCTAAGCAAGAACCAGCCAGCTAAACACACGAGAGAGAGAATACTTGGTACCATCTCAGAGCACTGGCCTACCCATCCAGTTTGCTTGCTGTGACCATCCCTGATACTTCAAAGGAAGGAGACCAAAAAGATGGCAGAATACATTGGGGGTAAAATAATCTCTTCCTGACCCCTGCAAGTGCCTGGCTGAGGTCCTGAAGCATGAGCTTTAGGAACACAAGACATAAACCAGAAGGGATGATCCAGTGCTGCCAAACCCTACTCCCTACCATCACAAGCAACTAAGTCATAAAATCCCATTCAAATTTATTGAGTTGTCTCTTAAAACTAATTAAGTTGTTTGCCCCCACAACTCCTATTGGGAGGCTGTTCCAGAACCTCACTCCTCTGGTGGTCAGAAATCTTCTTCTAATTTCCAGCCTGAATTGTTCATGGCCAGTACATACCAATTGGTTCTTGTGCCAACATTGTCCTTTATCTTAAATAGTTCTTCTCCCTCCCTGATGTTTTCCCCTTGATGTATTTATAAAGAACAATCATATCCCCTCTTATCTTTCTTTTTGCAAGATCAAGGAAGCCAATCTCTTCCACTGTCCTTTCATAAGACAGGCCCTCCATTCCCCTAATCATCCCGGTAGCTCTTCTCTAGACCCATTCCAGTTTGAATTCATCTTTCTTGCACATGGGTGACCAGAATTGTAAACAGTATTCCAAATGCCTTGTACAATGGCATTAATACTTCCCTCTCTCTGCTGGAAATACCTCACCTGCTACATCCTAGGATTGCATTTACCTTTTTTGCAGCCACCATCACATCAGTGGTTTATCATCATCCTGTGATCAACCCCAGGTCCATCTCCTCCTCTGTTGCTTCCAATTGATGAACCTCCACTTTGTAGCAGAAATTCTTATAGATTAGAGCATGACCTTACACTTTGCACTATTAACTTTCATCCTCTATTATTCCAGACTTCAAGGTGATCCAGTTCTTCCTGTACAATAGTCTGTTCCTTCTTTGGATTGATGATGCTTGCCATCTTTGCATAAATAGCAAATTTCATTAGCAGACTTCAACTTTTTGTCCCAATGTCATTAAAAAAATATTGAATAAGATTGGTCCCAAGACCGAGTCCTGAAGAACTCCACTAGTAACTTCCCTCCAGTCAGATAGTTCACTTTTCAACAGAACTTTTCAGCCTTCATCCCTTTAGCCAGTTTTTTATCCACTTTATAATTCTTGTTCTAATCCCCATTTTCTCTACGGTCATGTCTACACTACAAAAGAACTCCAATTTTACAGAAGTTGATTTTTGGGAACAGATTGTATAAAGTCGAGTGCATGTGTCCACACTAAGCACATTAATTCGGTGGTGTGCATCCACAGTACTGTGGCAAGCATTGACATTCGGAGCGGTGCACTGTGGGTAGCTATCCCACAGTTCCTGCAGTCCCCGCTGCCCATCAGAATTCTGGGCTGAGCTCTCAATGCCTGATGGGGCCAAAAAAATGTCACAGGTGGTTATGGGTAAATGTCGTCAGTCAACCCTCCCTCCCTCTGTGAAAGCAACCGCAAACAATCATTTCACGCCCTTTCCCCTGGATTGTCCGAGCAGATGCCATAGCACGACAAGCATGGAGCCCGTTCAGTTCACCGCAGCAGTTATGACCACTGTAAACACCTCGCACATTAGCGTGCAGTTTATGCAGAACCAGCACCTGAAAAACCAGGCAAGGAGGCGATGGCAGCGCGGTGATGAGGACTCGAACACAGATTTCTCTAAAACCGCGGTCCCCAGCAATTTGGAGATCATAGTGTTACTGTGGCAGGCTCATGCTATGGAACGCTGATTCTGGGCCCAGGAAACAAGCACAGAGTGGTGGGACCGCATAGTGTTGCAGGTTTGGGATGATTCCCAGTGGCTCCGAAACTTTCGCATGCATAAGGGCACTTTCATGGAACTTTGTGACTTGCTTTCCCCTGCCCTGAAGCACAAGAATACCAAGATGAAAGCAGCCCTCACAGTTCACAAGCGAGTGGCAATAACCCTGTGGAAGCTTGCAATGCCAGACAGCTACCGGTCAGTCAGGAATCAATTTGGAGTGGGCAAATTTACTGTGGGGGGTTGCTGTGATGCAAGTAGCCAACGCAATCAAAGATCTGCTGATATCAAGGGTAGTGACCCTGGGGAATGTGCAGGTCATACTAGATGGCTTTGCTGCAATGGGATTCCCTAACTGTGGTGGGGCTATAGATGGAACGCATATCCCTATCTTGGGACCGGACCACCAGGGCAGCCAGTACATAAACCGCAAGGGTTACTTTTCAATGGTGCTGCAAGCACTGGTGGATCACAAGGGACGTTTCACCAACATTAATGTGGGATGGCCGGAAAAGGTTCATGACGCTCGCATCTTCAGGAACTCTGGTCTGTTTAAACGGCTGCAGGAAGGGATTTACTTCCCAGACTAGAAAATAACTGTTGGGGATGTTGAAAAGCCTATAGTTATCCTTGGGGTCCCAGCCTACCCCTTAATGCCCTGGCTCATGAAGCTGTACACAGGAACCCTGGACAGTAATAAGGAGCTGTTCAACTATAAGCTGAGCAAATGCAGAATCATGGTAGAGTGTGCATTTGGATGTTTAAAGGGTTGTTGGCGCAGTTTACTGACTTGCTCAGACGCCAGTGAAACCAATATTCCCACTGTTATTGCTGCTTGCTGTGTGCTCCACAATATCTGTGAGAGTAAGGGGGAGACATTTATGGCGGGGTGGGAGGTTGAAGCAAATCACCTGGCCACTGAATACGTGCAGCCAGACACCAGGGCGGTTAGAAGAACACAGCAGGAAGCGCTGCGCATCAGAGAAGCTTTGAAAACCAGTTTCATAACTGGCCAGGGTACTGTGTGACACTTCTGTTTGTTTCTCCTTGATGAAAACCTGCCCCCTTGGTTGACTCTAAATTCCCTGTAAGCCACCCTCCCTCCCCCCTTCAATCACAGCTTGCTTGCAAAGGAAATAAAGTCTCTATTGTTTAAAAAACATGTATTCTTTATTAATTGATTATAAAAATAGAGAGAACTCACAAGATAGTCCGTGTGGGATGTGGGAGGAGGGTAGGAGGGAAGGAAAAGGCCACTTTAAAACTTGTTGAATGACAGCCTTCTGTTGCTTGGGCTGTCCACTGGGATGGAGTGGTTGGGTGCCTCCCTTCTCCCGCCCCCCGTGTTCTTGGGCGTCTGGGTGAGGAGGGTATGGAACTTGGGGAGGAGGGAGGGCAGTTAAACAGGGGCTGCAGCAGCAGTCTGCGATCCTGCTGCCATTCATGAACCTCCACCAGACACCGGAGCACGTCTGTTTGATCCCACAGTAGCCCCAGCATTGCCTCATGCCTCCTCTGATCTTCCTGCCGCCACCTCTCCTCACGTTCATCGGCCACTTTCCTGTACTCTGCTATTGTGTCCCTCCAGACATTCTGCTGAGCTCTGTCAGTGCCGGAAAACTGCATGAGCTCAGAGAACATGTCATCGTGCATGCATTTTTTCCGCCGCCTTATCTGAGATAGCCTTTGGAACAGAGGAGGGAGGCTTGAAACATTTGCAGCTACTGGAGGAAAAAAAGGGAGTGAAGTATTTAAAAAGATACATTTTACAGAACAATGGCTATACTCTTTCACGGTGAACAACACTAGTCACATTACATAGCACATGTGATTTTGGTATAAGGTCGCATTTTGCATCTTATATTGAGTGCCTGCGGCTTTGGTGTTAGAGCTCACACAAGCAGTGCCGGGCAACAGAATTCGGCTTGCAGGCGGCCAGGGTAAGCCATAGTATTTCGGCTTCTGCAACCTTCATATCAGCAGCGCCCTCCTCTCCCATACCAAGCAAAGCACGTTGAGTTGGCCATTTAGTGCTGCGGTTTTCCTTTTAATGTGCAGCAGCAGAAACCAAACTAACCCCTCCCCCCATCCAATTCTCTGGGATGATTGTTTTACCCCTCACCCCACCGCGTGGCTGGCATCAGGCAAGATCCCTGCTAGCCAAACGCAAACAGCTCAGCGCCAATGCCCCCCCCCCCCCCCCGGAGTGGCTAACTGTGGGGAGGATTTCTTTTCAGCCACAGGCAAACAGCCGAGTAGGAACGGCCACCTCTGAATATCCCTTTAATTAAATTCCCCTATTTCAACCAGGCTACCACGAATTATATCACTCTCCTGAGGATAACACAGAGAGATAAAGAACGGATGTTGCTTGAATGCCAGCAAACACTGGGACCATATGCTGCCAGGCTTTGTCATGCAATGATACCAGATTACTTGCTACTAGCATGGCGTGGTAAAGTGTCCTACCATGGAGGACGGAATAAGGCTGCTCTCCCCAGAAACCTTCTGCAAAGGCTTTTAGAATACCTCCAGGAGAGCTTCATGGAGATGTCCCTGGAGGATTTCCGCTCCATCCCCAGACACATTAACAGACTTTTCCAGTAGCTGTACTGGCCACGAACACATCCCAAGTCCTCAGGGCTACTTAATCATTAAAAAATGCTTGCTTTTATAATATGTATTATATTTAAAAAGGTACACTCACCAGAGGTCCCTTCTCTGGCTTGGGAGGGTATTTCAGTCAGGGTGATAAAAAGATCCTGGCTGTCGGGGAGAACAGTGTGCTGTGTGCTCTCCTCAAGCTCGTCCTCCTCCTCCTCATCTTCTCCGTCTGCAAAATCCTCAGGCATCGCGGAGAGTACCCCATCATCGGAGTCCATGGACAGGGGTGGGGTAGTGGTGGTGGCCCCCCCCCCCCCAGAATTGCATGCAGCTCAGTGTAGAAGTGGCATGTCTGGGGCTCTGTTCCGGAGTGTCTGTTTGATTCTTTGGTTTTCTGGTACGTTTGTCTGAGCTCCTTAAGTTTCATGCAGCACTGTGTTGCGTCCCTGCTGTAGCCTCTGTTCCTCATGGGCTCGGAGATTTTTTGAAATGTTTTGGCATTTCATCTTTTGGAACGTAGTTCTGATAGCATGGATTCCTCTCCCCATACAGCGATCAGATCCAGTACCTCCCGTTCAGTCCATGCTGGAGCTCTTTTTTGATTCTGGGACTGCATGGTCACCTGTGCTGATGAGCTCTGCATAGTCACCTGTGTTGATGAGCTCGCCTGGCGAAACAGGAAATGAGATTCAAAAGTTCCCAGGGCTTTTCCTGTATGCCTGGCCAGTGCATCCGAGTTCAGAGTGCTGTCCAGAGCGGTCAAAATGGTGCACTGTGGGATAGCTCCTGGAGGCCAATACCTTTGAATTGCGTCCACACTAACCCTAATTCAAAATGGCGATGTCAATTTCAGCACTAATTCCCTCATTGGGGAGGAGTACAGAAATCGGTTTTAAGAGCCCTTTATGTTGAAAAAAATGACTTCGTTGTGTGGACGGGTGCAGGGTTAATTCGATTTAATGCTGCTAAATCCGACAAACTCGTAGTGTAGACCAGGCCTAATTTAACTAATTATTTCTCATGTGGTATCATGTCAAATGCTTTTCTGAAGTCTAAATATATTAGCATGGTTGCATTTCCCTTATCTAAAAAAATCAGTTATTTTCTCAAAGAAAGAAATCAGGTTAATCTGGCATGATCTACATTTGGTAAACCCATGTTGCCTTACATATCCTTTACCATTTACCCACAATGAATTTTAATTTTCCTTCTGAAGTCTTGCACACTACTGAGGTTAGGTCTGTAATTGACCAAATGACTTTTCCTCACCCCTTTCCTAAATATAGGTATAAAGTTAACTATTCTCCAGTCATTACCTCAAAATAGATGGATTAATTAAAAATCCTTGCTATTGGACTAGCAATCTCATGTGCCAGATCTTTCAGTATTCTGGGATGAAAATTATCTGTTCCTCCCCATTTGAATGCATTAAACTCTTGAGTTTTTCATCCATCTGAAATGTGGTAATTTCCATTTCTATGCTCATTTCCACCAGCCATCCTGCCTTCATGCCCATGTTCCATATTATCATGCTTATTGAAAACCAAGGCAAAGTATTCATTTAGTTTTTGGGCCATACCTAAATTAGTTTGAATCTCCTCCCCTCATAGCCTCACTCATTGCATCCAACCTCATCCTTCCTTATTTCTTATTTATGTAACTAAAAAACTCATATGATCTATTTTTAATTTCCTTGGAAAGAGCTAATTCAGTTTGACGTTTAGCAATTTCTGCATTGCCTAACCTCCAAGATGTACCTTTCTTTGCTCATCTATCCCTTTTACCATTCCTTATAGGCTCTCTGCTTACTCCTAATAACCTTTCTGAGGTGGTTAGTCATTCAGCTGGGGCTGGAGTTTTTCCCTATGAATTTTTTGTCCTTCAGTGGGATGCAAGTTACAGATAGTTTTTGTATGGCTGATTTAAAGAAATTCCAAGCCAGTTGACTTCTTTAATTAATTCCCTTGATTTCCCAAAGGTTACCCTTTTGAAATAAAAAGACATAGCTGACAACTTGGTTTTGTTTACCTTTGCATTTAATTTAAACTCATGATCACTCAGTCCAAGGTAATTTCCTACGACCATCTTATCTATGATTTCCTCACTGCTTACAAAAACCAAGTTTAAAACTGCATCACCCCTTGCTGGTTCAGCAACAATTTGATGAGGAAAACTGCCATCTATCATATCCAGGAACAACTGGGCCCTACCAGTATTAAGAAGCATTTATTCTCTAATCTATATCTGGGAAGATAAAATCTCCTATTATGACACAATTCCCAGTAGTGTTTTCCTCTCTAATATTTATTGTCATCCTCAAAAATGGTAATATTATTAGAAAGATAAATACTACTATCCATATCAGAGTCCGACCCTGGGGATCTATAGCAGACCCTTATAGCTGTCCCAATAGAACCTCTTTTGCAATCCTTCCCCAAGGTGATTTTGACCCAAATAGCTTCTGTTTTGTCTATACTGCTACTTCTTTTTTCTTTACAGTTTTCATAGATGCACATCTTTATTTCTAGCTCTCCTAAACAGACATACCTTTCAATACCAGTCATGAGTGCTGTTTCACCATGTTTCTGTAATCCCTGTGTCTGGTTTGCCCTCCTGCACTAGTATTCCAGATCTTCCATTTTATTGCCCAGACTCCATGCATTTGTGTATCACATGTAAAAGTAATTCCAAAATTCCACTAATGCATAGGAGGATAAACTGTCATTAATGGTATCAGTACATAATATAAATGTTAATGACTCCTTGCTTTGAAATACTGAGTTCTTTACATGATGCATTTGAGAATGTTACATGGCATCTGGAACACATTAAAAATAAATATATCCAGTATGTACAAAGCATGATGCAATATATTCTTTAAAACGTCTTGCAATGACGTGAATTCTGTATGTTTAGCTCATGAGGAGGTAAGTAAGTTTCCATGAGACTGGGAATTGAAGAAGCAGTCATTTTGGGGGAATCCCTTTGTCCAACTGTTGTGTTGTTACTGGAATGCCATTCACAGGTTGTTTTAAATGTACAGGGCAAACCTCATCCCTGGTGTAACTCCAGTAAGGTCAGTTTGGTTACACCAGGGATGAATTTGGCCCACTCTGTATTCTCTGTTGTGCCACTGTCTTCCACAGAAACTCTTTCTGCTTCATCTAAACTTGAAGTCATGTTCATCCCTGACGTACGCAGGTGCAATTCCACTGACTTCAATGGGCTGAGTTTGGCCGTGACACCTGTAACATATAATATGGATTTTACTGCTTACAAATGGGGCCAGACTGGAGTCTTCTGTCGATAGTATCAAAGGTCTATTGACATCACCTAGGAGAAAAGTTTCTAAACACTGCCATCATTTTTTCTGCAGAATCCTCCACTGAAGGCTATGGGGAATTCTGCTTAAAAAAAAAAAACTCATGTCACAATATTTCTCTCTGAATTTTCATATTTTCAAACATTTAAAACATTTAATGATATTTACAAGCAATGGCTGTTGATTTAGAACCCTGATTTAGTCTTACAGTGTTATATTTTACCTGAAAATATCCAATACTCAGAGCCCCTGAAGATGGGTGTAATGTAAGAACTTTAAAAAGGTAGGATGGAATATTGCTCAAACCAGCCACTCTCCCAACTGTTACATTTTAGTTGCTACTTATTTAACATTCAGCCAATGAGTAGATTCATCAGTAAATACACTGGCCTGGTCCTTATCAGGATTCCATCGCGTACCCAAAGCACTTCTGACTTTTATTAATTGTATGGCGCTCAGACACAGGCACAGAGTTGAGAATTATGAAAAATAATGAACTCGAGCAGGAGCAGCATCTGCAGCGACACAGTTAGAGAGGCTTCCCCAACCAGAATCCCTTCTCACTGGTGTAAATGTGTAGTATCGATGAACCCCACCTGTGCCACATACACAGAAACAGCCACAGGACGGAAGATGGGCAAATTAAAGTTTAATCAAATAATAAACTCTGGTAGGAGCAACAAATAAACTAGCCTTTTCCATGTCTGCTTTCCCTTGAGAATACAGCAATCTTTTTCCAGAGGACCAGTGTTTGAGTCACCACCACCCTACATGTTGGTTGGTACTAGGTAGGTCTGGGAAATTCATGAAATACATGTGCGCAATAGGTTTGTAATGCTTGCAGGTGGTATGGATATACATAGCTCATCCTATGCCTATGTATGGGATCACGGGACTATATCCCTCTTCTTGATGCTACTGCCTCATCGTGTTTGGAGCTTTGTTCTGAAATAAGAAATCAACTCTGCTCTTCCATTTTTGAGGATGTCTGATATCAAAACCAACATGACACGGGAACAAACGACACATGGCACATTGCTTAATGCATTACTGGAAGGTGCTCAGATACCACGAAGAGGAGCACAGTATAAAAACCTATATAGCACAGATTAAGATAATATCAAATAACAAAATATATCCCAGGCAGTAACAGCTAAAGGCTTCATCCTATACCTGATGTCTTCAACGGATGCAGTATCAGGCACTAAAATAATTTCAGACAGTAGGTCTGATAGTTTGAGGAGTTTTTGTAGGAGCCGACATGAATCTGAGTGTGACTCCAGAGAAGAATTCTGATTTTTTTGCAATGTAATATCCCTTTGCTGAACAAAACCTAATCATGTGAGGCTTAGATAGTTCCATTAAAGTAAAATCTATAATGCAGTGTCCAAGTACAAACAACAGTGATGCCTACCAGTAGGACTTTTAGACGACTGGACAAAAGGCCTTCCTTAAATCTTATCCTACAGAGCTAGACACCTGATTTCCCTTGCAAAGTTACATTGGGATATAAGACAAATAACAAAATATATAGCAGAGCCCACTGTGTGAGAGAATTAGGGCACATCTAAAAGCACCCTCTTTCTGAGAAACTGAATGATAATGGCTTTGCCACTCCTCCTCAGCACCTAGGTTAGTCTCAGACAATGTGAGAAAGAGAAGAAAATACCATATGACTTCTCCACATCACTAAGACAGCTCAGATTCAAAGCTGTTTATGAAAAGATACTTTGAAATTTTCATTGACATTCAGGGAATGCAAAAGGTTTGCATCCAAGTTTGGAGAGAATGTCTGTTCTAAAAAATTTCTGCTATATCGTGGCACAATCGGAGAATCAACACGAAGCTGAATACTGGCTGATTTCACACACACATTCTGACTTAAAGTCAAATATTGTATACATCTCCAGATACTTGCTCTTTACTGCAAGATCAAAACAAGTAGAAATCCAATGAAAATATTTAAACAACATACTACCCTCCCCTGAAATTCCAATGTATACAGCTTCAAAGCAAATTATATGAAATTATAACTCTCTAAGTTTATAAACAAAGTTGTGGGTGAATTTATAAAACACATTTTGTAAAATGATATTACTTGCTGTCAGTTCACAGTTCTACACTCTTTGCCCTGCAATCTTGTGGTCACTGGTTAAAAGACTGTTGGATGTAAGATCAAATTTTAATTTACAAAGGCATCAAAAGATAGGGACAAGTATACTACTAGTTGTGAATAGGTCCAGTACCATTTGCTGGGAGTGTGCTCATGTTGGTCAGCACAACATGTTCTGAAAGTTTTGAAACATTATCAAAATTGCTGATCTGGGTGGTCAAGGATTTCCGACTTTCAGTGCTTGCATGACCTCTGGTGAGTCGTTCATCCTGGTGATGGTGAATGCGAAGCCAGCAACAAGAAAAAGCTGCTTTAAATTCTTCTCTAAATTTTCCTGTCAATCAAAAAAGAATGCACAAAAACATTATTATACAAATGGTGTTTTAATAAAGCTAGCATATGGAAGAGACATGGTTAGCTAGTGCCAAAGTGAATCCAAAATAATCAAGTACTCTTCTAACACGACAAAAGCAGGCAAGAACAGTTTTAGTGATTCAGAAAAAGGCAACAAAATTCCACCTTTTAATAAGGATTTATAGTAGGTATAGTAGAAATACTAAATTAATTTTTACATGGCAGACTAGACTGGCTCTTAAGGCAATGTTCCAGTTTGTTTGTTGAGTAAATAAAACACATTTTATGAAAACAAATAATTGCACTTGAGTAGGTTGAAATGATTGGGCTATTACTTGACGTGAAATGCGAGGACAAAACTAATTTCTGTTTTACCTTGCACATTTTACAAAGGAAACCGGATTAAAAAGATAAAGAAATATCTGATTTTCTGTATATTACAGTGGTCATTTAAACAAGCTCCTATTCTGTCCATTTTCAGGACCTTTGAAATAATTGGGGACACACTGAAATTGTTACTACAATGAATTTCATTACAGGAAAGATGGTGTGTATTTAAAGAACAGGGCTGGAAGTCAGGAGTCCTAGGTTCTATTCCCCATTCTGCCACAGGTTTCCTTGGACAAATTATTCACATCTCCCACCAGTTTCACAGTCGCTTCAATGGTGACTTGATTTACACCCATGTAAAATGAGATCAGAATCACATCCTTAATCTCTCTATGTCTCAGTTTTCTCATCTGTAAAGAGGGGATATTAAAACTTACTTTCCTAACAGGCTAAATGAATGAATGTTTGTGTTCAGGTGCCAAAGAGATGGTACAATATAAGTAAACACCTGGAGAAACAGAACAGACGCTTGGTATGAAGCCTTTTGGATAGCATAAGAGCCCCCAGATTTCCATGTAAAAACTTTAAATTAAACACCAAACACATTCAGAAAAGTTTGGCTAACTCTTGTACACCTTCTTCTTTGATGTTGCCTCTGTGTTAATAAGTTTAAGCTGGGAGAAGAAACAGATGTGTTGCAATAAGAGTGTCCCACATCCAGATACCCTGAATTTTAGTGTTCTAAGGCTCTAGATCCAAATTTTGAGTCTTGAACCAATAACTGATGTTGTGTTAATTTAGATTGAATAAATGACCCTGAGAGATAAGGTGTTACCATGACCCTGAAACTGTCCAACATTAAAAGGTTTAAAACAAGGTTTGGCATGGTATATAGAGACCTCAGCCTCCTTAGTGCCAGGGCAAAGACACCTTTAAAATGTTTTTAATCTTTTATTTAAAAGATGCAGGGGGAAACAAATTAAATAATTTGAAATGTGAAGTCTTAAGTAAGGCTTTCATTTTTACAGCATCCCTTATTTCCTTTCCTTTTGGCTGTAATGACTTTTAGAAGGAAAACGCCTGTTTGACTGTTTTTGAGATGGTAATAATTGTCCTTTCTGGAAAAAAAGAAGAGGTTACTAGAGATGGGATAGAGCTATTGCTGCTGTTGTTAAAGTCTGATTCTGTTTCCTAAAAGGACAAAACCACACATGCATCCCCCTCACTGCTGGAAAACTGCTTGCAACCTCACTGCAGGCACAGCATGTCTTATTGGCCACTCCAAGGCCTGGCAAATTTTTACCAGCATTGAGCTGTTTAGGGCATTGCTTTTAGCCACCTTTCTGGTCACAGTTACAGCATTGTTGCAGAAAAGACAGTTTTGGCTGGCTAAGCCAGACCCTTATTAGACAGAAAGAATAAGGAAATGGATAGGAAAGAAAAATAAGGTAGGGAAGGAAAAGGACAAGTTGGGGTGCGGGGAGGGGAGGAAGTCTCACATCCCAGGTGGTGTTTGGGATTTAGCCAAAGCTGGTGGAGGTGTCCTTTGGGACCCTCTCTCTGGCCTGGTCCACCTCAGGATTAGGTCCCAAGAGACGGTGGGGGTGGCAGCATGGTGGTGAAGCTCACTCCTTCCCCTTCTCTTGTTTTTCTGTCAGCAAGCATTCACATTCCCTGCTTTTGGTCAGCCAGCATTGACTTTCTCTCAAAGTCTCTTCTTTTATGGACCTCAAGTGAGTGATGGATGGAATTGCTCATCCCTTCATTATTCTGTCCACCAATTGGGCCTAAACTCTAACAATTTTGGCTCACTGATTTCTAGTCCCTCACTTCTCTAGTTTACCAGACATGATCTTAACACCATCCTTGAATTATTTCAGTTGGTCTTTTTCTTTTGTATGAATTCACTCTGTCTCCCATTTGCACCTTTCCACATTAACAGTTGTTGTTCTAGGTTATTGTGACAGTTTATGAACTTCCATTTCCTTTTCACAATTGAGCTCACAATTAGGGTAAATCTGTAGGCCCAACCGCCACAACAGTAGCCAGAAATCTTGGTTAACAGGTCATTGTTTGCTAGATATCGCTGAATTGACTGGAAATAATAAGAACAGCAAATCCTATTCTCATTAGATTTCCTGGATAGTTTTGCAAACCTTGGATACCCAGATGAGCATCCAAATGTTTATCCAAACCTTATCTGAACTACACCTCTAAACTTCATCTATCACTAGTTGTGATCAAGCCTGCAACAAACCAAACTAAATGGTAAGAGGACTGAAGAAATGTTTGGTGATTTTTTTTTTACATACTATATTTCTACTGAAAACAGTCTCATACAAATAATAGAGAAGGATCAAAGGTAATAGAAGAGAGAATGGTAAATAAATGTCAGTTAGGAATATTTTAAGACTATTTCTACATTATATTATTTTTACAAAGGCACAGTATTGTTACACTAACAAGCAGGTAGATACTAAAATATAAAATTGTATTTTGTAATATTTTTCTACTGCTTCATTTATCTTTAGAAAATATCTCTTTCACCACAGCTTCAAAAATCCCCAGCAGTAAAACTATAAGAACACATAGGTCCTTTTTCTTTCATCTAGGTAGAGAATCTTCTGAGATTCAGCAACCTCCCCTCCTTTCTCCCCTCACCCAAGGGGGATTCCTGCCATTTAAGTCCTGGAAAGGATTAACTGAAAGTAACATAAAATTTCCCCCTTAATTATGAGGTCCTCACAATACTTGTAGCCCTTACTCAGGGCCAGATTCTGCCACCCTTAGGCACCCTCCTCTGTCCTGAAGCCAGCCCCAAGCTCTCCCCGCCACTCTCCTGCTGCTTCCAAACCCACACATTACCCACTGCTCTGTACCCTGACCAGCGCTCTCCCCTCTGCCCTCCTGATGCCCCTAGTCCTATGGTATTCCCCCACACCCACCTTCTAGCTCTCCCCTCTGCATGGCGTCACAGCTCTGTTCAAATTTGGCCCCAGTGACCTGCCATCCTGACAGGGAGGTGGCCAGGCCAAATTTGAGTGAGTGGCATTGCAATGCAGTGCATGGGGTTGCAACACCATTCAAATTTGGCATGTCTGCCTCCCGTCATATGGGGGAAGCTGGGCCAAATTTCCAGCTCCAACAGGCACCAAAGGTGGGAGGGCTAGGGCCCTGCCTCCAACCCTTATCATTGCACCCCAAAATCTACACTTCAAGCTAGTGGGGTAATTCCAGCTTGAGGAGACATAGTCGCCTTAGCTCTGATCAAGCTAGCGTGCTAAAAATAGCATGAGCAGCAGGAGGGGACAGCCACCCTGTCTGTGTGCCTAGAGTCTTGGATGGGTACATACTTGAAGCGGCTAGTCCTTCCCATTGCTCCCACTGCTGTGGCTATGCTCCATTTTTAGCTTGCTAGTTCTATTAGAGCTAGTGCTGGGGTGACACCTTCAGCTTGAAATTTAGACCCACCCTGATTCAAATGAGCACTCCCTATAAAATTAATGGGGATACTTGAGAAGGCAAGGTGGTACTCAACAAGTGTAGCAGACCGTGAGGATAGAGGGACTTATCAGGACCTGCACCTAGATCCCAGTGGTTCAGTTGTGCTGCTGCTCAATTTTCAGGTCAGTCTTTAACCTAACTGATTACTATGCATTACACTTAAACTACATTTTCAATATGTAACACAGTGATCATCTGGAAACTCACCACTGAGAAAGTTATAAATGATAGGGTTCACTGCACTGTTGGCATACACTAACCAGTGCGAGAATGTAAACCAGGCATACACAGTCTCTCTGTCATCAGCATAGTTAAACATCCCCAAAACCCTGCAAAATAAAGAGGGAAAAGCCAGTCTGAAAGACAGCGTATAAGACTAAATATAAATGCTGTACTTTTATTCTATCTGCGGTATCACATAAAGCCCAACACATCCAGCTTTCCCAAGAAAATACAAAACCTCTTCCCACCCAACAACCAGCTTCCATGATGGTTTTGCACAGCGCAGAAGCCACAAGCGGTTTTGTCTTCAATGCACACATGGCATCCAGCTAGATAACAAAAGGGCAATTTATACCATCCAAGGCAAGGGGGGAAAATGTGTCTTTAAGCCAATACGACAATCTCCCAATTCTGGATCCAGCCTCTCAATTCTGGGCCCAGCTCCTAGCGCAACGAGGCTGCTGCAGAGTTAGGGTGGCACTGACTGGCTGCCTGTGGATTCTCTGCTGGCCCAAAATAGCTGGACTGCAGTGGCTCCAGCAGCATCCCCTCATGTCCTTGTGCAGGAGGCTGCTGCATTTAATCACTATGGATTATAGCAGAAATGTTCATGTTAACTCTCTGATTACAAGCTTCCCTCCAGTTTGACAATATGAATACACAGAAAATAGAGAAGTGGCACCCACCCATCTGACACTTGCCAGAGGACTTTCAGGTAGGCAGTGTTGTAGCTGTGTTGATCTCAGGATATTAGAGAGACAAGATGGGTGAGGTAATATCTGTTATTGGATCAACTTCTTTTGGTGAGAGAGACAAGCTTTTGAGCTTCCACAGAGCTGAAGAAGAGTTCTGTGTAAGATCGAAAATTTGTCCCTCTCACCAACAGAGGTTGGTCCCATAAAAGATATCCACCTTGTATGTCTATCTTTCATCAGGGCAATACAATTAAGTTCTTTTTGTTACATTTTACTTAATGTAATCGTGCCAAGACAGTGACACTATGCTCATCACCTTCGCAGCTATAAATGTCATTGGAGGTCAGACAGTATAATTTCTCCCCAGTTTGTCAGTGTGTGTGTGTGAGTGAGAGTGTGAGAGAGAGAGAGAGAATGAACTGATAGAACAGAGTGTTTACTGAATATACTGTTTGGCAAAAATAGCCACACATAAAATTCATTGATTTGCCTATTATTTACTGATTCATTGATTACTCTGATATCAATATAATAAGTCTTCATAAAAATTCTCCTTTGACTTTTATTATATTCTGGGAGCATCTTCCGAGCTTGGAAGAATTGGAACACTTTATATTTTTGCTTTCGTTAAACAATAAAAGCTTGCTTGCTTCCCTGATTTTGGTAAATTTCTGCATAGTTATATACAGATCAGTTATTAATTTTAATATGTGAAACACCAGAACAAAATCTTTTGGGCTTAATTCTGCTACACATGCTCACATGGAGTCAAGCCATACACCAGGGCAGTCCTACTGAATACTACCCTACCCAGTGTTCTCCATCAGATACTACACTCCCGGAGTCCATTCACGCAAAAATAAGTTTGAATGTGTAGGTCAATGAGATTTCTTGCATGAGTAAGTGACCGCCAACGTGAACATGGGTTTTACAATCTGACCCCAAATTTCTGCCCTTATAATTGTTTAGCTAACAATTTGCTTACAGCTGCTCGCTGAGCTTCAGTTTCTTTATTGTAAAATATGTGGGTATCTATTTCAAAACTAAAAAAAAGAATATAGCAAACCACATCATAGAGAAATGCTTTTAGACAGAAAACTTCCCCCAAACTCTTTACTGCTTGTGAACAAACTTTACCTTTTTAAGACATTGAGGATACTAATTGGTAGATAGCAAAGTGCAAAAACCAAGAGAACCACCATTAGCATACGTGCTGTTTTCCTCCTGGCTCGAATCTGTTTTATTTCAGCTGCTACCCCACTAATCCTGGACTTGGTTGATTGTCCCAGTTTCCGGGGCTGTGCTAAAGAGGGCAAAGGCTTCCATTTTCTTTGAACTACTGATGAAGTTCCTGGGATCTAAAAGATTAAACAGTAAATGGAATCTTCGTTAATGCTGTTTCTCTAAGGGAAATTCATCACCACGTAAAAAGAAGCATCGTAGGGAGTTAATACAAAAAAGATAGACAGGCTGAAATAAAGCTCCATGATAACACAGTACAGTTTAGTAGCTTGTCAAACAAACACTTTAATCCAACACTGCTGTTCATTTAAGAGAAACAGGGTTTCATAGGTATTATACAGACAATCCCAGCCATGACTTAGTAAGAACAGAACTATGCACATAACTGTGTGCATCCACGGCTTTATATGCTCATTGCATTTTCAAATATGTGTCCTAAGGGTCCATAAGGCAGCTGTGCTTTCCCTATTTATTGGGGGGAGTGAACTTATTTTTTCTGCATTGTGGTCGTTGCCCAGGGTATTCCTAACAGAGATTTGCAAATGGTGTGTGTGTGTTGGGCGGAGAGAGGGAATCATAACAGGATGTATGACTAGTTAGCCTATCCAACGACATGTCTAAATGAGTAGGTGCTGGCTCACTTTGCTCTCTGGAGATTGGTAAGCACCAAGAGCCTGCTGTTGGAGAAGCTGCTCATGGAGGAAGGAGGGCCAGTGGTAGAAAACCCAGACAGTATGGAGAAAAAAGGACATTTTAGCTAAGACAGGGTTACAGAATAAAGGAAAGGGGCACCAGGTTAAAGTCTTCTCAATTAGTATAAAGGTGACCTGTGGGGCAAGAGATGCTCATTTTTGCCTCCTCAGCTTTCTGACTGATGCCTCAGTGGGACTAACTGAAAGTGCATCTGTTGGGCACCTCATCATGCACAGACACCCCATGGAGACTGAATGGGAGAGCTCTGCTCTCTCACTTCCTGTGGTTGGAAAAGATTGCATTTCCTTAGTCAGAGCAGCTAGCCAGGGGTCTGTGGTCCCAACACCAGTGCAGACATGGACTCACTGAATCCCTCAGGAGCAGGTGCTGTGCCAGGTTGAGCTTGGACATCTACGTTCTGGGTAAGCAGCTGACTAACTGCAAAGGAAGCCTGTGCTCTTGCAGAGACACGGCTACACTGGTCAGGACCTCTGTCACAGTACACGGGGTCAATTCCCCACTGCTGCCTAGCACTCACGTTCGCTATTTCCCCAGTTCTCCTTCAGCCCAGGCAGCTCACATGTCTCATTGCTTTAATTTCCTGCAGCAGGGCACCAGAAACTCCTCGGCATTTGTTAATGTCTCCTGTGGAGGAGGTGCTAGTCCCTACCTAGAAGAAGAATTCACCAAAAGCATTACATATCCATGAGGTGGACTCTAAAAATCATAAAACTGGGCTGAGCATGAGATTAAAAAATCCTTGTTTGTGTCGGCCTTCCCCTTTCTGAGACTTAAGGCAAAGCTAGTCCCCACTCCCTATTTGTGTGTCATCCTTCTGGGTTGAAAATTCAACCTGAAAAACACCCACAAAGCATGGCTACTCTCCAGCTTCCAGCTGCTCAGGCCCTCTCCCATTCTTCCTCTCTGCTTCCCCATAGTGTCCTTTCCAACACCTGCTTCCATACTTCTCGCTCTTTATAGCCTCCTGCCCCTCACATTCTCCCTCTCTGATCCCCCCATGACTAAAAACTTTGACTCCCCTGTTTGCAGGAGACAGGCTTTGGTTTTCTTTTCAGTAAGTATACATGCTGTGGGACAGCACACAAAAGGACTGTCTGAGGCCAGGCTGAAAAGCAGGTGTTTTTACATTTATCTCTAAAGCAGGGACTATTTTCTCCCCATCTCCTTCACTGCCCCTCCCAAGAGGTTTTATGCTGGCCCTCGGAACTACAGGTGAACTTCACTCACAGAGAATCTCATGAGCACAAATATAATGAAAACGTCAAACTGTGCAGGAACAATTGTTTCTATCTTCAGTATTTTCCCACTGTTTATATCTCCATTTTAAATCTGTTTAAAGCACTGGTCACTTGAAAAGTTTCAACTAATTCTGTAAAGTTCAGCAAGGGAGTTTCTGGGTTTATTTCCCCCAACTAGTTAATTTGTCATGTACCAAAAGACTTTTTTTCCCCCACCCTCCCATAATTCAAACACATAAAAGGATTTTGCTTCAACTTCCCCAAAATACTTCAGGGGTGAGAACAAGTATGAAAGGCTACATGTGAAAAGATCTACTTTTTCTGAGAACTGTGAGCGTTTATAATATGAGGGCAATATTAGGCCCTGGTTCTGCAAACTGTTATGCATGTGCATGGCTTTACTTGTGAGCAGTGCCATTGGCTTCAACAGGACTAGTGACATGAATAAAGTTATGCACATGTATAAGAGCTTGCAAGATCCAGTCCTTCGTTATACACATTTTTTCTACACAGGGAAAGTGCCCAGCATCATTATTCTGCAATAATTATTTAAGAATAGCTCCCTGTATGGACATACTTATTCTGGAATCAGAGAGCCTTTTTTCCAGTTCAGTTTAATCCACTTCTAATAAATCCATGGGGGGGGGAGTTTTGAGGAATAGCTGTCATGCTTCAAATTGGCACCCGACCTTACTCTGGAAAAATTTGCCTGTGTAGACAAGCTCTTAATTTAGGATTTTTTTAAAAAAAAACTTGATTCAAGTTCACTGTAACCTTCCAGTGAAGATCCATAATGACAAATAGGAAATCAGTGAAGTTGGGTTGTAGGGAACCGCGGGACACAGGATAACATTTAGTATATTGCAGGTGTTTTTATAAACACAAGAAATAAAATCTGAACTCTGACATCACACCACTGAGGATTCACAGCCTTTTGGCCAAGATCCATAGTCTTGTCAATTTAGTATCTGAAATCAGTATGTCCTATTCTCGGGGATTTATCCTACTCTAATGGCAGAATTGACTCTGATTTATGGTATTGGGTCTTTTCCATCTCACTGCTGAGAAACTACACAGAGAGGTGCTACACAAAAACCCGAATTTGGGCTCTGGGAAGTATTTTGATGTTCTGTTCTTCTAATTCCAAAACTGAAGCTTTTCCTTCTATTTCGATCTGATCTTGTTTTCTGAGTTACCATATTAGTAGCAAGAACTGATCAGAAAACAACCCCCTCCCAAATATGTTGGCAATTTCCTCTCCTCTTGATTTTGTTAGAATTTCATTTCAACAAAATTTTTCTGACAAGCTTTATTGATATTTGCATCCAATTTGGGTACAAAGAAATGGAATCTTGCCTCAAGACTTTGTATGGCTTATTTCTAATGAAACACGAGACATGATTGATGAGTCTGTGGTTAGAGATGACCAATCTGCTTTTCAAATGCTTCTAATAGCAAGAGCGGATCACAGATACAGATTGTGGTACAATGTTGATCTCCTTGTACATCCTATAAAGCTGCCCAGTGTTGTAGGAGTTACTGCTGAGAACTTATCTAAAGAAACCTGTTTCTGTTCTATCTCCATTTTGGAGGCATTATAAGAATTGCAAGAATTTGCCTCCTTAAGCCAATAAGCAAATAATTCATAAGATGTTGCAGGCAAAAATTGTTTTTAATACATACTCACAGTCAGGCTGCTAAAGTACTATGGCCTGAAGAGAATAAAGCTTGGCTTACATATGTACTACTGATGCATATTTTAATCACATACATACCAGCACAACACACACTTTTACCAATTATTACTATCAACTGAATTATACGGACACATTTAGCTGAGACGATTGTAGAACACAAATAAGCTCTCTAAAATCCTCAGATGCTTTACATCAGCATTTAGAATGGTTAGAACTGGCGCTAGAAGTTGTAAAACTGCTGTTTTCACCCCCACGTGTATCAAGCTGGAAAGCCAAGCATCATAATCTTGCTTTTAAAACTCGGAAAAATTTTGAAAACAAAACCACAACGGGCCCAATACATTTAAGCACATGTATGTGACTCTCTTAATTATTGAATGTGTGTCAGCATGTCCAGCATAAAGCCATTCAGTCCTAAGGAGATTGTTCAGCTCTTGCTTTATCTCTTCTCCATGATTCATAAAGGAACAAAATCCTTGTGAACAGGAGGGATCCCTGCCTATTAGTAAACAACATAGGTTACTCTAAAAGCCAGGCGTCTGATGCTGTTGCCCTTTGCTTCCATAAAGCTCCTAATTCTGAGATGATAAAACCATGTTTGCAAAGACTTTGCAAAGCAAAGACATGATCAATAAGTTTGGAGAGCAGACAGAGAGTAAAACACAATAGGGATGTCTTGTGAGTGAGTCATGGAGGCTAACTTTTAACCACCTGAAGATTCACTTTAGAAACAGCCCTCATTTTAAAACAAACTGCTTCAAGAAGTTTTCTGTCAAGGCCTGGGAATGCCTTGGCTGTTAGTACTTTGGATTTCATCATCATGTATGTCTAGCAAGATCATTGATACATTGCAGCAGTCAGAATATTTAGATGGCATTCTGATAAACAGCATGATTCCTTACTTGGGGTTATTACCAAAGATTCAGAATAGGACTGTTGATTAATTGCAGTTAACTCACGTGATTAACTCAAAAAATTAATTGTAATTAATTGCAGCTTTAATTGCACTGTTTAGAATACCAATTGAAATTTATTAAATATTTGTGGATGTTTTTCTACATTTTCAAAAATATTGATTTTAATTACAACACAGCCAATCGCTCTGACAAAGTTTGTTTACATTTACAGGATATATTGCTGCCCACTTCTTATTTACAATTTCACCTGACAGTGAGAACAGGTGTTCGCATGGCACTTTTGTAACCAGCATTGCAAGGTATTTACATTACATTGCATTCATTAAATTTGTGACTGAACTCCTCGGGGGGAGAATTCTATATCCCGAGCTCTGTTTTACCCACATTCTGCCATATACTTAATGTTACAGCAGTCTCTGATGATGACCCAGCACTGAATAATGGTGTGAACATTTTCAGAAACATTTAGGGATCTGGGCCAAAAAATTTTTAGTGGGGAGGGATAGCTCAGTAGTTTGAACATTGGCCTGCTAAACCCAGGGTTGTGAGTTCAATCTTTGAGGGGGCGATTTAGGGATCTGGGACAAATATTAGGGATTGGTCCTGCTTTGAGCAGGGGGATTGGACTAGATGACCTCCTGAGGTCCCTTCCAACTCTGATAGTCTATGACCCATCTCAGGTGATTTTGTTGCTGTTATTTTGTTTTCCTATCACTGCAGTGCAAAATTTGAGAAAATGGCCACATTTCCAAACAGAACTTTAGATTTGTAAGGCAACCTTTTCTCAGACTGGGCCCATTATTGCTGGAAAATGGTGGCACATATTTCAGCAACAAATACACGAGCTGTTACAAACTCAAAACTGAGCTGAAATTTTTGTAACAAAATGAAAAAAAAAATGTCAACTTTCATACACCTCTGCAGCTCCAGGGCGATATAAAATATCTGTGTAACATCAACCTCGGAGCTCAGTTATTCTCTCTCAATAGGAACCTTCAACCAGGACAACTGGGGATCCATCTTCTTCCCTTAATTGATCTTTTTGCTTCCTCTGTCCCCGAAATCCTCCATCTCCTAGATGGCTGCCCTAGACTGGAGCACAAATTGTTTTTCATTCTGCTTGGCTGCCATCGTTTCTGAAATAGGAGACTAGGATGCAGACTATAATTTCACACCCAAAACTGCTACTGAAGTTTGTTGGGTACAAAAGGTTGTATTGATCAGGTCCTGCGTGGCATTATGGAGTTTCTGGAGAAAAACGTTGTCCACTCAAATAGAAAAACATAGTAAGCCAATATAAATCAATGACTTACCTGGCGGCACCATAGTTTTCGAAATATTTGTAAATAGGCCAACACCATAAGACACAATGGTGCCATGTACGTCACCAGAAAAAAACACATGTGGTACATTTTGGGGTAGACCTCACCTGGAAAGAGAATCAAAATAGAAAAAGAATGTACATACAAATATAGTTTAAAAATTACTTTAAGTCACATTATACCTACAGATACTCAAATGTAGGGCTCATTGATTATAATGGGAGATATATACATGCATCTGATGGCAGAAATTAGTCCATTGCTTTTAGATTCATTCTGTTCATACATTTTAAACAGGCTTTTGCTTCATAGTAGTATGCCACATTGGTGTGTGAAGTGCTATGTCACACTCCTTTGTTACATGTGTGTTAATTTTTAATCAGTACACAATGCTATTATCTAAAAGCTGTTATTCAGGTATTCAAACGCTCTGTCTGCACTGAATATTGTAATTTAATACATCACTGAGAGGAAGCATGGTCTAATACTCGGGTGCCAGCCTAGGCCATGGGAGACCATGCTCAAGTCTCTGTGCTGCCACAGACATCATGTGCGACCACTTAGGGCTTATCTACACACCCTATGATCGTGTGGTTTCTAAAATGCACTAACACGTTGTGTATTAACTGGTCTGTGTAGCTCCTGATGGTACACACCAAAGGCTCCCTTGTGCTCTTTAACATAGCATTTTTTCAAACAGCACCAGCAGGGTTTCCACAGGCCACTTAATGCACTGACATGTTAGCATGCTTTAGAAATCGCACCCCCCTTGAGTGCAATACTACACCACATAGTCTCTCTGTCACAGTTCTCCAACTGGAAAATGGGGATAACAGAATTTCCCTACCACACAGGCATGTTGTGAGGATAAATACATTCAAGACTGTAAGGTGTTCTGGTACTGAGATAGCAATGAGGGCCATATAAGTACCTAAGGCAGACAGATAAAGATGTCTTTCTGCTCCTGAGATAAATGTATAAGATGTACTCTGAATGGTGGCGGTTGGGAGTGAAGTATATAATGGAGCCACTATAAAACACAAGCTGGAATGGTTTTTGTTCCTTTAATTCAGTTAGAATTAACAAAATCAGAGACTCAGAAGTCAGGAAATTCCCCCAAGTAATTTTGGCCTCTTACCTTAACTCTGTCCCTTAGTATATACATTACAATATTTCCTCTTTAGATTATATATTGCTTGTCAGATTATTCAATATGTAATATACTACCAAAATTGAATTTATTCCAGAAATTGTGCCCATGTGCCCTTCCACTTTACCATGCAACTGATTGTGTGTCTCAGCTGATAAGTAAGTTAGTTTAGGTTTTAGTCAGAGGAAGAATAAGACAGTATTAGAAGGTTTCAGAGAAGTAAATACATTTGTGCTCCACATTGGGCACGCCTGGCAAGCAGTTGTAGGGTTCAAGAGTTCTCATCTCTGTCCAGAGCTTTCAAATGGTTTAGAAACAAAGGACGAGTTGTTTTTTCCCCCACAAGAGGACCTAGTGCACTTTTAAAAAACCCCACAATATATTATTTACAAAGTATCAGTGTCTATAATGTGTGAAAAGGGTGAAGTTTTGGTGGTTGAAAAACTATGAAAAATGGTGTTTCTTTTAGAATGTATTTTTGGGACAAGTAATGCATGTTTACATAGATATACTGTACTCTTTTCAGATATTAGTAAAGGAAGTTACACTGTAGGGCAGGCGGGAAAACAAGACTTCTGTTTTGCAAAAGATTTCGGGATTTCCAAATTTGTTTTCATTCTAACGTGGAATGAAAATGAGACCTGTTGCATTGTTTCATGAATAACTATATAAAGAAAGAGAAATCGTCCCTCTGCTGGAACTATTGGGAGAGAACACGAGTGACATTGGTTGTATAAGTTGGTGATTGCACACTTATCTGGGTGGTGGAAGACCCAGGTTCAAGATACTGCTCTGAATGAGGCAGAGTTAAGGATGAGTGGTCATCTTAATTTCTGGAGTTTCCTGACCTTTGAGTGCTTAATTTATCCACTTTAATGCTGCACACCCCTTCTTGAGTATCCGTTATTACCAGCTGCCAAGTCCCGTAAGTATACCCTGCATGTTTTGGTTTGTGGAGCTCACATCAATTATACCATCAACACCTTTTCTCTAGTAGTTGGAACATTTATTTTATTGTTAATGATGTTGCACTTGTTTAGCTGCCATGATCTCAAAAATGTTTTACACACGATGAATTTAAATGAATTAAGCCTCACAATACTCCTGTGAGACAGGGAAATACCGTCATTCACCTTTCACAGCTGGCGAAATTAAGTTTATGTGATTTATTGAGACCAGAGGAGGTCAATGAGAAAGCTGAGACCAGATTCTTCCTGCTCCCGAGGCATTGTCACCTGCCCCAGCAGAGCTCTGCAGGCAGCAAGGCATCATCAGGAGTTTATGGCTTCCAATTTAGCAGTCTGAGTAAAATGGAAACATTAAAGCAGGCCAGCTAAGTACAAAGTGCTGATGGGCCACGTTGGAGGAAGAAGCCAGCGTTCTCCTTTGAAGTTCAGCCACCTGCAAAGTGCTAGCAGCTGAACATCAAAGGAAACCTGTGTCCCTCCTCCACCCAGGGCAATGAGCTTTGCAGAACTTTTACTTAAGAAGCTTGAATCTGTTTAGCTTCTCAAGCTAAAAGAAAGCTTTCAAGCTGCTTAGTAATTACTGCAGCAGGCAGGAGGAGGGACTGGTCTGGGATGCTGGTCATTTATCAGATGGTTTCGTCCCTGCCACCATACTCAGACTGGTGCTGAGTGGGAACATCCATCAGTGTTCTGCCTAAAGATCAGCGATGACATTTCAGCTGCCTAACCGAAAACCCAGATCCTTCGGCCCGTCCCACACAAGCCAGGGGTGGGGAACGGCGAGGGGGAGAGAAAAGTCCTTATCTTAGATGGACCACTACCTGGGCTTTCAGATAGGAAGGGGGGACACACAGGTGTGGTGGTCCCTGCTTCAAGAAGAAAGGGAAGATCTCCATGTCTAATCCCCTTTGCTGAAAAGAGGGGAGAAAACTCAAAAGGATTCATGGGGGTAGAATGAGGAGATGGTACTTGCCAATGTGCTTATCCCACACTTGAGATCCTTGATGACAGATGCAGAGTCTCACCCCACTCCACCTACCACTCAACTGGTGTTGCGAGGGAGGGAGAAATGGAATAAAAGGTGTTTGGATTTGAGGAATGAGGGATGGAGAGTCTGTTGGATGGGAATGGAGGAAGGGTCTGAAAGGACAGGTTAGAACAAAAGTAGTGGCATAGAAATGGCGATGATCAAGGGGTGATATGACAGAGGATGCAGCTCAGCTCTCTAATTTATCAGCTTTTCATGGACTTTTGGTAAGTTTGCCCCACACATTATCATTTCTGGAATTATTAAACATACAGTCTTTAGCCAACAACTTTAACTCTGACACACATAATTCTAGGGGTTCACATGCACCTTGTACTCCACTGCAGAATTTACAGCATGCAAATATAGAGGGGACATATTCAAATCTAAAGTAATGTGCCCTTGCTGTGTATTCATAATTGCAGCAGATCAGTGACAGAGGTGTGCCCTCAGCTGACATGCAGGACCGGCTCTAGGCACCAGCAAAGCAAGCACGTGCTTGGGGCGGCACAATGCCAGGGGCGGCGTTCCGGCCACACCACCCCCCCTTTTTTTTTTTGCTTGGGCAGTTGCGCTTTCGGAGCTTGGGGCAGCAAAAAACCTAGAGCCGGCCGTGCATGCATGTGCGTGTGTGTACATAGACACACACTTATACATACATATACATATATAAACCTCTCTCTTCAATCCATATCAACATGTAACATTATTGTTCCTCCTCATTTTTGCATTTCAGGGTCCCTTGAAAACAAGCGGTGAATGTTGCTGGAACTTTTCCACTCCTCGGATTCATTTTTGCCAATTTCATTTTGGACATCAGAATTCTAGCAAACTTCTTGATGCTACCCCATGTAAAGCAATGTTTTGCTTGCGCTGTAGGCAGCTGCTGAGAAAGTTAATATGAGCGGGCTTAGCCAGGGAACAAGCTTTACTGGACAATTCTCAGAATCAAAAAACAAAACCCCAAACCCTGCACCACAGTGGACAATAAGCATTTATTTTAAGTGTTAACTGCTAAACATTCACATAAAGCAGAATTTATAACCTTATCTTTAATGGCGCCATCTAGTGACTTCCAATTTTGTTACAGTGTTCAGATTTGGAGGGCAGAATGCTGCCCTTTACTGTGAGTAACCTAGGAGGAAAAGGAACACAAAGTCTTCCCTTCACCCATGCAGTGGAAGTGAGGATTCTCTCCATATTCTCTTGAGTACTTGGAGTATTTGGTTAGTATACATTGGTTGCTAACCTTTTTAATCAACCGTACCAAAAGAGTGTGGTTAGCTGATTTGGACACATGATGCAGCCATTTTAATTTACATTTCTTTAATTGTGGGTCTTTATCATCACATTCATCATATGATAACTATGGACTATGATAAAACCCATGGTAAAAACAGGTTCCTTAAGTGACTCCACACAGTTCATAGGTGGGACTCTCTTGCATTCCCAAATAAATTATTATTATTAGTCTGGGCTAGGACTGAAAAATCCTCAGCCTAGAATTGGCCATGAATGTTCCTCCTGTTCTGGAGTGAAAGCCTGAAGCAGTTAGAAAGAACTTGGATGTTGACAGAGGCTGAGCAACTGCACCCCTTGCAGTTACTAGCAATAACTCCAATAGGCACACACAGATATCGATTAATAGAGGTTGCCACTCTTTGTTCATTGTGAAGGAGTCCAAGCCATGGTGGGAAGGTGCTGACCAAAATAGAGCAATTTGAAATAGAGGATTATTATTTTAAGTTCATCTACCATTTGCCAGTAGACTAATTAGCACTGAGGTGACATCATCAAATTTCAATTGTGTATGAATTCTGTTTGATGAAAGTGAATGTCCTATGGTTAGATGCATAATTTAATGGAAAAGCCAGCAGTACAAACTAGGACTGTATGATCTTTAAGTGGAGTGAAAAAAGCTTCTGGTTTCAAAAAAAACTTCCAGGCATGTTTTATATTTTATACCCAGAATAAAATATCTATCTTGGAGATGAGGCACCTTTGACGTCATTAACAGTACAATCACATAAGAAATAAAGATAACGGCTTCCCCTCACCCCAAACCTGAAAACAACTATCAGAAATTATTCAGACACAAACCAAACCTTGTTCTATGCACAAATACCAGCCTTTGTCAAGTCCCTTCCTACCTTCCACAAAGCCTGTGAAATGTGGCAGCCTTTGTAACATACCATGAAGGTCAGCAGATTCTGGCTATCTTGGACCAAAGGAGGGAGTTCATTACATACTATGGGCCCTTTCTGGAGAATGCTCTCCAGGCAGCTCCCTATCGTTTATACTGAGGGGCTCCAGCTCCTGAGCCTCTGTGGATTACATCTGCAGCGCAGCAGCTAAGCATGGGGTGAGAAGCAGTCTCTAGAATAGGCTGCTCCTGAGCCATTTAGGGCCCTACAGATTAATATCAACACTTTACATTTCTCTTGTAAACCAACAAGCTGCCAGCGCAGGTCCTGGAACACTGGCATCGCAAGCTGTTGGCAAGATACCCTATGTAATTATTGAGCTGCTGATCTTTTCTTTAATCATTTTCTATTTCTGGGTCGATTTAACATGTAAATCTAAACTTGAAGAGAGAAATTCATGATTATGATGGTCAGGTCTGCAATTATAAACAGAAATTAGAATCTCCAGGTGAGATGAATATTTCCAGCAATGTCCTCAGATGGAGAAAGCTAGTAACAAATGATAGACCTGCTCCCTCAGTTAAAAGTGCTGGTATCATTCATGCCACATCTGCAGGACATCTCCCTCCTCCTATGAAACTCACTGCAGTTTTATCTGGATTGAGCCAACCAGCTCCCATCTCTGCCCCTCTGGATAAGGCGTTAAAGAGGAGTGGCTGGGTTGGAGGAGATAGAGAACAGGAGTTCATATCATCTACATACTGAAAACACCATGGGCCTGCATACACAAGAAGCAGGGACCATTGTATTAATTTTGATGGAATGAATGGGCCCAAAGAGTCAAAGGTGTTAACTTGACCCTGCCACTGTCCAGCATTAAAAGGTTTCAAACAAGGTGCAGGGTTTGGTATACAGAGACCTCACCCTGCTTAGTACCATGGCAAACATGCCATTAAATATCTTTAAGCCTTTAATTAAAGATCCAGAAAGGATAGAAAAACAGTTGTAAATGTGAAGTGTTGAATAAGGCTTTTATTTTAGCAGTGCCCCTTGTTCCCTCTTCCCTTAGCTGTAGAGAATGTTCATAAGGCACATGAAACACCTCCACCCCGTTTGAGAGTCTTTCAGACAGTGTTAAAGACGGTAATAACTGTCCTAATGGAGGAAAAGGAAGAAGTTAGTTGAGATGGGCTGGAGCAGTCATTGCTGTTGTTGACAAAGTCCCATCCTGATTTTCTGAAGACAAAACAAGACAGATGCACACAGAAGGGGAGAGAAAGGAGGACAAGTGCAGCGCCTGTCTTTGGCACTGACTTACTTGCAACCTCATTGCTAGAGGAACACAGGCACAGCACGTGGTCTTAGCAGCACTCCAAGATCTGGCCAACTTGTAGCAGCATTTGGCTATTTAGGGCATTGCTTCTAGGCATCTTTCTGGTCACAGGATTACAGCGATGTGGCACAATGTGCAATCTTGGTCAACTAAGCTACACACTTACCAACCAGAAGGCAGAGAGGGAAAGGAAAGAGAAGAAATAAGGTGGGGAAGGAAATGGACACACAAGGGACAGGGATGACAAAATCCCACATCCCAGTGGTGTTGGGATTTAGCTGGAGCTGGTGGAGGTTGTGATGTCATCTGGGTATTTCTCTTTGGCCACGGCTCGCCGTCCCCAGCCAATGGGAGCTGTGGGAAGTGGCAACAAGCACATCCCTGCAGCCCACCACTTCCCACAGCTCCCATTGGCCGGGAACAGCAAACTGTGGCCACCGGGAGCTGTGAGGGGCCGTGTCTGCGGACGGTCAATGTCAGCAAAATGTCTCACGGCCCAAAATCAGCTTACCCTGATGGGCTGCATGCGGCCTGCTCGTTGCCTGCCACTGGTCTAGACTAATCCAGTCTTTGAGACATCCTTTCGCATATTTTCCATTAACATTTATTGTTATAGGTTTCAGAGGAACAGCCGTGTTAGTCTGTATTCGCAAAAAGAAAAGGAGTCCTTGTGGCACCTTAGAGACTAACCAATTTATTTGAGCATAAGTTTTCGTGAGCTACAGCTACAGCTCACGAAAGCTCATGCTCAAATAAATTGGTTAGTCTCTAAGGTGCCACAAGTCCTCCTTGTATTTATTGTTATAGGTTACTGTGATATCTTATGAATTGTTACATACTTTTTACAATTGAGTTTACAATTAGGATAAACTTGTAGGCTCAATTATTATACCAGGACCAAGATGGAACCTTCAAAACATCACATCAAAGAGCCCTCATCAGTTAATGCCCAAGGTTGCGTAAAGTAACCAATTACAATAATACATGAAAACACAACCTGATTACAATGTAACAAAACTGATCGCAGCGATTGGACTACTTTAAAAAAAAATACAACCTTGAGAAAGGATCTGATTGTATTTTAGTCTATTAACTTGAAGCAGTTAACCACGTTCCTTTTAGCTACATGTCTTGGCAATCCTGGCATTACTTTCCCGAGTATGAATGATTACTACATATTATTAAGTATTATTAAGGTGTTGATTGTATACATTGTCAGAATCCCAGTGCGCAACTCACATGCACTATTAGTGCTGGAATTATTCCAGGGCCCACCAGAGTTGAGCCCCAATAGTTCAAGGAAGTGGCCAGGACTAACTGCAACAGGAAGTCAGACTACATGAAAGTAGCCCAAATTCCAAAACTGCACAGTGCAGAAGTAATCTGGAAGGACTGATTTGTACTTTTTGGATGCAATCATTTGTAATAGATCATGTTTTCCAAATAACGTTAGTAATGCTGTCCAGGCCAAATTTCAATCTGTGGAATGAACTGCTTCCGATATTGCTGGCAGGTTTATAAATTCTGTAGTTGTATGCAATTTGAATTGTAAATCTGGGAGATTTCTGAGGAATTTATATAATGCAGACAACTGTCAAAGTCAGGGTCCCAGGAAAATGGACCAATGGTCTATTCTCTGGAGATAAATTCCACAGGCCTGATTTCTGCAGTCCTTGTACACCTCTACCTTCCTTTGATCAATAGGTGTTATATAAGTATAAGCATTACAGGATGGGAACATTTGTTCCAATGGAGAACATTAAGATGACCAAGACACAGAGAGCCTCTTATTGCACATCCATCTGAACTTGGCTTCCAATTGACTTTGAACATTAGCAAGGCAGAGGAAGATGGAATGTAACAGTTTCTGAAAACTAGTAGTTTCAAGAACCACCATATAATTAACATGCCAAGCTATTTTCATTATATCCTGGCAGTATAAGTTCCATTCTTATGATCAATAACACACTTACCTCCCCAGTGCTCATCACAAACTGTGAATAAGATTGTTTTGTTAGCTAATCCTGGGAACACACTGCTGCATTCCATAACAACAGCCTGAGGAATCATTATAACGCAGGATACAATCCAGATAACGATAATGCTATTCGTTGCCCTCTTGGCTGTGCTTTTAAACATCAAAGGGTGACAAATTGCATACCAGCGATCCAAAGCGATGCAGCTAAGTGTTAGTACAGACACAGAGACTGACACAGTCTAAGGAAACAAGGAAACATTGTGTAAACTTTTCTGATTTTTAACTTTGAATACAATTTATATTTTCAACACGATCAGAAATCTATTTAGAGTTGATATTCCATGATCAAGGGCTGTTAAATAGTGATTCTTCCAAGAAAAACAAATTCCTTTTTATATCACTTGTCACAAAATTCACATAGGTCTGAGTCTGCTAGCCTAACTCATTCTCAGAAAAAAAAGCAATGAGGAGTCCTTGTGGCACCTTAGAGACTAACAAATTTATTAGGGCATAAGCTTTCGTGGGCTGAAACCCACTTCATCAGATGCATGGAAAATACAGTAGAGAGGTATAAATACACATCAGATGAAAAGATGGGAGTTGCCTTACCAAGTGGGGGGTCAATGCTAACGAGCCAATCTATGCGTAATCCCACTTGAATCAACAGGACAACTCACAGACCACTCAGTTTGAATAAGTGTGGCAGAATCAGGCCTCATAAGAATAAACTCATCCATTTTAGACTTTGTAAGCATTATTTATAAAAGTGTATATTTTTACAATATGAAAATAAAGCTTTAAACCCACTAACTACATCTTGCTTTGTAGGAGACATTATCTCGTTTGATGTGCTACAAACATATATCATCATTGTGTCTTCCCAATTTTCACAAAGGCAAGGGGAAATCACAGTCACATTAAAAAAAAAATCCGCTTGCAGTTGATAAAAATAGGATCACTGGATTTTTCCACTGGCTACAAACAATAAACTCATTGTTCATTTTCTTCCATTCAATACACTGGGTGACAGTTTCATGTCCTTTCTGCATTCAGTGGGGTCTTCCGAACCAGGTACAGGCCAACAGTTAACGTACCAACAAAAATCTCCTGTAGCAGTGTTGTGCCTCTGAAATAAATTGGGCCATTCTGATTCAATGCACTGGAGCAGAGGGCAACACATATCCACGGATCAATTCATGGAATTATTATACCCAACCAATACTATGGCCCATGCTGCTCCCTTTGAAATTTGTGTGCACTGGGGGCCTTGATTCTGACCTCAGTTACACCACTGTAAACCCAGATTTCAACTGAGGTACTTTGGATTTGGATTTACACCAGTGAAAAGGTCCAAAGATTTACCATACTGGAATGCCCCACTGGCCCATCTAGTCTGATAAGGAAAGGAAGGCACAGTTGTTAATCACTTCACTGGAAAGGGCTTCAGAACTGATTTAACTTAATAATTACGAATGGCAATAACTGAGGCTTAACTGGGAGAGTATGAACAATTTCTGCTGCTTGTGGGGATCTTTGGTTATTTCTACATAGCACTTAGTAAGGCATATGGAATTCTGAACTCCACTTTCTAACTACAGAGGGCCCGATGCTCTGTCACCCGGCACCTTGGGTAGTCATTATGTCCAAGCAAAGTGGGCACAAAATATCACTGTTCTGATATTTTAATGCTTTATGTCCACTTTATTGATGTAAATGACTACACAAGGTGAAGAGTATCACAGAATCTGTCCCGTGTGTTTATTGCCTAAAAAAAAAAAAAAGAGAGAAATACTGAGAATAATACTTATTCAGCTAAGAATTTTACTTAATGTTATGTAGTTGGGCATTTGGAAGTGGAGAAGCACTTAAATCACAATGTCTACCCCTTCCATTAGGAAGTTCCAATTAAGCAGATTCTACCGTACTGTTCCTTTTTGACAACAGCAGTGGTATGGAGAACAATACCTGTAAATAGGGGATCACCTTGCAGAGGGTCTGCCCAAAGAACCAAGTTTCTGTGATATCCACTACTAACGTGGCTGGAAGACAAGTGATTGTGACAAGAACATCAGCCAGGGAGAGGTTTACTATGAAGTAGTTGGTGACTGTCCGCATGTGATGGTTCTTCCACACTGCAATACAAACTGAATTTACAAAGAAGGGTTAGTACATTTGAAATAACATGTGGAAGGAACACTTCAATGGGACAACACTTTATAGGAGCAACTAGTAATTGGAGGATGCAGAAACATTTTCTGAAGAAGGTTTTAAATATGTAGTATAATGTAAATATGTAGGGACAGTTAATTTTCTTTTACAGTGAACAGCCTGGAAGCATGGAGAAACAGCTAGAAACAAGGAGGAGACAAAGTCATGTGACTAATCAATTCTCCACAGACTACAGTTTAGGCATTGTTGGTTTGATACGTAGACCAGTCTATTTTATTACAGGTACAACAGCATGCAGTAAATTTTATACAGTATAAGGCTCGTATAAATTAGTTTGTTTTTCCTATTGATCCAAGCTGTAAAGCTTTATAAACCAGGCAAATCACTACATCTGAGTGCAGTAAATCAATAAGTCAGTAAGCTAGCAAAGTAAAAACTGAGGTTGTGGAAACCAACTTGAGAAAAAATAGCTTTGTGTAATAACCTAGGACATAAAACCTTAAGAGACTAGGTTTCTGAATATTTTGACTTCTCAAGTGTTAGAAAGATTTCCATTCCCTCTTTTAAAACTTACTCCTACAATGCCCCAATCTACCATCTCAACAATTTTACCGCAACAGCAAATTTATTAATCCTTTGTACACAGAATGTCCTTCTGTCCTGAGCAGAGATGGGTCATGTCTTCAAATCTCGGGCTGGATCCAAACTTTCCTTAATTTCAGGGATTTGGTGTTTGGTCCAATTTAGATATATTAGCTAGATGAGAAGTGCAGATCTGAATCTGAACTCTCCCAATAATCAAAGCAGGGTTTCAGAGTTTTAGTCTGGAGACAGCTCTGGTCCTGAGCTCACTAAAACACAGCGTTCAGACCTCAGGTTTAAGGAGAACACAGTCTTGAGTGAGAGTATTTCTTACTTCGGTGAGTTAAGTTACAAAAATAACTGTTTTTAACCCTACTATTTTTACTTGATGCATAATACCAATGTAGTTGTGGGATCTGTAGCTGGTAACCATGAAGATTATGGCAGAGGAGATTCAGCAGGTTACAGAGATGCACACTATGCTCTCTCATGAGCCTTATTCACACTAGAGAAATGATGCAAATTTATAAGATTGTTGCTGACACCACTTCAGATTAACTGGTGTTAACACCGAAGCTCAAGGTATTCCAGGTCAGCGGTTCCCAATCAAGGGTCTGGGGTCCCCCGGGGGGGGGCCGCAAGCAGGTTTCAGAGGGTCCTCCAAGTATGGCCAGCATTAGACTCGCTGCAGCCCAGGGCAGAAAGCTGAAGTCCCACCACATGAGGCCCTGAGCTCTGCCACCCGGGGCTGAAGCCAAAGCCTGAGCAACATAGCTTCACAGGGGGCCCTGTGGCATGTGATCCCAGGCAATTGCTCTGCTTGCTACCCACTAATGCTGGCCCTGCCTTTTGTTGTGGCAGAAAATCAGTTGTTGTGGCATAGGTGGGCCATGGAGTTTTTATAGCATGTTGCGGGGGGCCCAGAAAGAAACAGGTTGTGAACTCCTGCTCCAGACTATATGATTTTTACTTTTGTTATTTCCCTTAAACAAAAATAAAAGTAACCCAGCAGAAATGGTATGAATTAGGTAATGCTATCTGTCCTTACTGCAATGTATAGCTAGCTGTACAGCTGAGAGAGTATATCTTTGTTACCCCTCCCAGCTGGGGAGTGGGGTGGGGAAAGCAGTGGCTTCTGTCCCCAAGGATTCTGGCGTTGAAAGAGAATGGATCTTACTCTATAGCAACCTCAAAGTACAAGACAGGCAAAGTGGCCATCTGGCCTCCCTGAAAACCCTGGACAAGGAATCTCTAGGGAGTGGCACATAGCACCAAGCTAAATAGTATGAAGATGAAAGGTATATGGGCCCTGTAGATGAATGAAGATTTGGAAGGGTCATGTTTCAGAAGACGAGGGTACCAGCTATGCAATAAGAATCTGTCCAACTCCACCCAACTTGTTTGGACTTTGGCTGATGATGATCAGGGATCCTAGAAATCCATTTGCCATTGAAAATCGTGGAATTTGCATTTTTACAGAGAATCTTTCATTTTTACATTTATTAACTATTAACTAAATTTTACTGAAATTTACACTTATTCAATGCATGTAACCTCCTCCTCTTGAGGTTGTTTTTGAATGTCCTTTACATTTACAGTGGAGCCCCATTTATCCAGTTGAATTGGGATCAGGGTCAGATCAGACAGTCAAAAATTGGGATAATCCAGAGAACTGGCAAAAAGCTTTTTATTCCTTATGTTAAGATTGCGGGGCAAGGGGGCTCAGGCAGTCAGACCCAGCAGCCTGGGGCTGACTACTTGAGCCCCAGCCACTGTGAGTACCCAGGCAGCAGGTGGTTTGGTCAATACTGAAAGCAGGATTATGGAGGCTCGGCTAAATGGGGTTCTACTGTTTATCAATAAAACATTGTGTTCAATTTATACCGATATATACTGTGTCTAGGGAAACTAAAGTTAAGCATTTCATTTTAATCACAGAAAAAACACAGATTTTTATGGGGTTTTTAATCAGAGAATTTTGGTTTTTTTGTCATGCAAAACAAGGATCCCTGATGATGACTGAAACAATAAAAGGATCCCTGAACAAACCATGATTTAATGTTTGATACAAGCCTTTCACACAGCCCTAGACACATGGTAGTGCAAAAGAGTTGAGAGAGACACAGAAAGTGGAGAAGGAAGAGAGTTTAAGATGGGGAAAAAGACGAGAGGAGAAGAGATTCAAAAAGGAGAGAAAAAAGGTAGGGAAAGGAATAAGTAAGAGAGAGAAGTTCCCTTTGAAACCACAATCCTATCCAAACTGTAAACATCTCACTGCAATAATACTCTACTTGAATCTCCTCTGCAATTCTGCCCCCATTTTCGTTTTGATTTTACAACAAGAAACAAGATAAAAAAGGAACTCAATCCTTCCTCAAAGTGACTGCTATTCTTATCTTTGCCACATAGTGTCAGTAAAAGCTTGGAAACTAAAATGAGTTACCATGCTGTGCCCTGTTTAGAAGATGCATTGCAGCTCTAACAAATGAATCCATCTGTAAGACTGTTTCTCAGAGAGTTGATTGCATTGAGTTTGAAGTTTGGTGAGAAGATACAATTGTGGTTTCTGGCCATTGTTCACACAGAATGCAGAAAACTTCACTCTCTTCAAGGGGAGCACAATGAAGGGAAATAGATTACTGTGGAAGAATGCAACTTTTGCCAGAAAATATTTATGAGTACAGAGAAAATGGCTTACAGGGAAATTAAATTAAATTAAAAGGCATGTTTAAATAAAGGTATCCAAAAATACCTTGGGGGCAGTAAGAACAAGATTGTTATATCTGGAGCTGGTGCCAGAGTCAGATATTACAGAAGCTCATTTTACAAAATTTGAGCATCTCATCCAAAGCGATATAAAAAGAAATACTGTGTGCTAATTAAACAGCCAAATGGCACACAGACATTTGCAGATTCACTGATTCCAAGGCCAGAAGGTACCACTGTAATCATCTAGTATGACCTGCTGTATAACACACGCCAGAGAACTTCCCCAAAATAATTCCTAGAGCAGATCTTTTACAAAAATATCCAACCTTGATTTAAAAACAGTCAATGATGGAGAATCCACCACAACCCATGGTAAATTGTTCTAATGGTTAATTACGTTGTCTGTTAAAAATGTATGCCTTATTTTCAGCCTAAATTTGTGCAGCTTCTACTTCCAGTCATTGGATCACGTTATACCTTTCTCTGTCAGCCTGACAAGCCCATTATTAAATATTTGTTCCCTCTGTAGGTACTTATGGACTCATCAAGTCACTTCTTAATCTTCTCTTTGTTACACAAAATAGATTGAGCTCCTGGAGTCTATCACAGTAAAATATGTTTTTTAATCTTTTAATCATTCCCATGACTCTTCTCTAAACCATCTCCAATTTATCAACACCCGTGTTGAACTGTAGAACACTAGAACTGGACACAGTATCCCAGTAGCTATCACACCAGTGCCAAATACAGCGGTAAATAGATCTCTCTAGTCCTACTTGAGATTCCCCTGTTTTTGCATTCCAAGATCACATTTGCTCTGTTGGCCACAGCATCACACTGAGAGCTCATGTTCAATTGATTATCCACCACAACCCCTAAATCTTTTTCAGAGTTGCTGCTTCCCAGGTATAGTCCCCCAACCTGTATGTGTGGCCTATATTCTTTGAAGTCCGGTGGCACCTTAAAGATTAACTGATTTATTTGGGCATAAGCTTTCATGGGTAAAAAACCCCCCACTACTTCAGATGCATGGAGTGAAAATTACAGATACAGGCATAAATATATATTGGCACATGAAGAGAAGGGAGTTACCTTACCAGTGGAGAACCAGTGTTGAAGGCCAATTCAGTCAGGGTGGATGTGGTCCACTCCCAATAACTGATGAGGAGGTCAATTCCAAGAGAGGGAAAATTGCTTTTGTAATAAGCTAGCTACTCCCAGTCCCTATTCAAGCCCAAATTGATGGTGTTAAGTTTGAAAATGAATTGTAGCTCTGCAGTTTCTCTTTGAAGTCTGTTTTTGAAGTTTTTTTTGTTGAAGAATAGCTACTTTTAAATCTGTTATTGAATGTCCAGGGAGTGTGCTCCTACTGGCTTTTGTATGTTACTGTTCCTGATGTCTGGTTTGGGTCCATTTATCCTTTTACGTAGAGACTGTCCAGTTTGGTCAACGTACAAAAGACCCGGTAATAATTGGGGCCCCATTGTTCTAGATATTATCCAAACATCGAGTAAAAAACCAGATCCTACACTCAAGAGCTTACAATCTAAATAGACAAGACAGATGTCTGGTGGGAGAAACACAAAACTATTAAACTAGTTTACAGATAGTTTCTTTGTGATTCAGTTCCCTAAGTCACTTAAAAAAATTCCACAGGAAGTATGTGACAGAACCAAACACCTGG